AGTATCGTACTCGTAGTAATCGCAAACGTGCATTACAAATCTTTTTCTTAAGGTAAATCCGCATTACAAATTTTCTTTCTCATGCTGAGGAAAGTTGTAATGCATTTTTACGAGTACGATACTTTTGTAGTTCATATACATCCGACCAACACCAAGTCTCTCCCGACTTCCACTCTACACGTGGAAACACTACTACAAGCCACAGGGGCTGTTCGCGGACCGGGCGAGGCACAGTTTGTCGCTGTTTTTGCGGCACTGTGTGACGGAGAATGTTATCCTGTGCAAAAGTATCGCATTCGTCTAAATGCATTACAAATTTTTTCAGCATGAGAAATAAAATCTGTAATGCGGATTTAGCTTAAGAAAAAGATCTGTACTGCATGATTACTACGAGTACGATACTTTTGCACAGGATAAATGTGGAAAATTATGAGGAGAAGCAGCACGAGTATTTCAACGTGAAGCTGCAGTTTGATATCCACAGTAAATTTCCCGTACAAGTACAAATGCAGTCTCGGCATCACAAAATTGGTGTTTGATCCTAGTTTAGCATGACAACGATTGGTCGTGAAATTTGTGATGCATCTATGGTACATGTACGGGAAATCTGTATTGCATATTTGACAAACTGAAGCTATCCAAGTTGAACCGGAAGAAGTTGAAACCGGGACTATACCAGCTGTTCATCGGGACGCGTATTCCACTGATTTCCAACATCGCTGGAACCGCTGAGGATTACGACGAAACAGCACGAAACAAGGACGATGGGGCTTCGTGTAGCAGCTGTTTTGACACCAGCACAGGCAGTAGCTCCTCTTCTGGCACAACTTCTAGAGGTAATTCCCGAAAAAGGGAGAAGGACCGCGACTGGGTGGCGTCGAAGCCGTTTGAGATTTTAACCGAATCCGTTTCCGATTCTGAGTTCCGGTTTATGCATTGCAAAAGTATCGTACTCGTATGAATTGCATTACAAATAATTTGCTCAGCATGAGAACTGGAATTTGTCATGCTGTTTTACCTTAAGAACAACACTTGTCATGCATAACTGCAACTGGTGCGAGTGCGATACTTTTGCAATGCATACGGTTCTACGGAGCACAATTCACGAAGAAGATGAAAATGTTGGAGCAGATGAGCGACGCCATTCCGGGGGCGAAGAAAGGAGGGACTGTATACATTGCAAAACTATTGCACTACGTAGAAATTGCATTACAAATGTCCTCAGCATGAGAAATAAGATTTGTGATGCGGATTCACCTTAAGGAAAAATTTTGTAATGCATGGCTGTAATAATTTTTAGTACGGGTGCGAATGCGATACTTTTGCAGTGCATAGGCTGCTTCGGGAAACAATTTCCACAACGCGGTGGAGATGCAGGATATGGCGGGGGAGGAAAATTTATGAACTGCAAAAGTATCGTACTCGTATAAATGCATTACAAATTTCCTTAGCATGAGAAATAAAATTTGTAATGCTGATTTGCCTTGATAAAGAAATTTGTAATGCAAGACCTGCATTTATACGAGTACAATACTTTTGCACAGGATAAAATTATCCGGTGAGTGACGACGAAGAGGATGATGTCGATGCTGAGGACTTAGACAACTCCGAGCAGCAACCGTTGATATCCACAGTAAATTTCCCGCACACGTACAAACGCAGTCGCTGCATGACAAAATTTGGCTTCGATCCTAGTTTAGCATGACAAGTTTTACGTTCCAAATTGGCGAAATTTGTGATGCATCTTGTACATGTACGCGAAATCTGTATTGCATAGCTGAGAGGACAAAGCAACAACAGAAAGTCTAGCAGTTCCGACTGGTCGTTTAAACTGAAACTCGGCTCTGAACAAGCTCTGGACGTCTATCTGGTCCGCTTAGACACCCAGCAAATCGTCGGAGTTTCCTCGATCTACCTGGGGTCGGAATTCCGGGCGCAGGAGTACTACTCGAGGCCGTGTCGGGCGGTCTTGCGCCCGGCGGTTGGATCTTCCGGTGCCGGCCGAGGAGAGCAATTTGCGGCGACGGAATTGGGCGTTTTGTCCGATGTGGAGGTGTTTGCAATGTTGGGCGTGTTGCGATTCTACGCCCAGTACAAGAGGCACGCGAATGCTGCGGATGCGCTCTCGGCGCTCGCGAATGGACAACAAATCGCGGTTAGTAGTTCTACACCGACAGCTCAGAGCAGACGGACGGTAGATACGGGGTTGCTGCGCGACGCCTACCCGGATCCGACAAGGCAAAGTCAAGCTCCTGTGGCGGTGGAACTGCAGGAGAACAACAATAACCAAAAATCGATTTTCATCGGTGATATTGCGGGCCGAAGGATTTTGGAGGGGAACGAGTCTGGGATAACCTGGAACAAGCAGCACCCGAAAATCGCGGATCAGTTCCAACTTACCTTCCAAGTGAAGTGCGCTTTATCGAATTCGGTTCTGGGGTTCTTATCCCCGAAGTCAGAAAATTTGAATGTCACCGTCGTCGCGGGCTCCGGCGCCAGCACGTTTTTAGTCCGGACCAGGCAGGCGCTGTTGAAGAACGCGAGAAAAAAGTTCAAATTCCTCCCAGCAGGAGGAGGTGGTGGCGGTGGTGGTAAAAATGCGAAAACCACTGGCGGGTTGGTTCAAATGAACTACGGCGCGAAAAATAACCGGGCGATCAAGCATTTGCAGTTGGAACTGGGGAGAAAGGCGTTTTATCCAATGTAAATTTCCCGTACTACACGTAGGTACACATACTGTTTCTGCATGACAAAACTTGCCTTCAATTCTTCGTCAGCATGACAGGTTTGACACTCCAAGTTGGCGAAATTTATCATGCATTTCGCACATGTAGTCGTGCGGGAAATTTGTATTGCATAGATTAACGAGAACCGGATCAATGGACTACAACAAGTCAAACACTGTTCGGAAAGGGGGGCAAAAGGACAACGCCTCTGGAGTCGCTGCTTTTGGTTTGAACAGCAAGTCCCCTTCTGGTGCCAGCGTTATGGGCAAGCCGAAGCCGGGTTCTTTACCACGGATGTTGCGGCACGCCGGGTCGATCGACACACTGAACAATATTACTCGGACAACGAGTCAGTTCGCTCGGACGAGAAGCGCAGCGGCCGTTCGCTCTCCTACACAGCAGCAGGCACAAACTACTGCCGCGCAGGACCTTCTTCTCCACCACGCGGTGGAGAACACGGGCTACCTCACCTGGGTAATGAACTTCGGCGACTTGATGGTGACCAAAGCGAATTTGATATGGGAGTGTCAGGATCGAAATCGTCAGAGTTGAAATAATTTGTGATGCATGAAACGGATACCAGTTGGCGCCTAGTTTTCAAGTGGCGCATGACAAGTTTGGGTAGAGCCGAAATCCAGTTTGTCATGCTGTTTGGGTAAGGAAGACGTCTTTTGTCATGCTACTTTAGCAGCTCAGTGTCTACCCCTCGACAGGCTTACAATCTGCCTCACTTGCCTACTCTGCAAGACAGGCGCTTTGTGGGCTGCATTTTACGCATGACAAATTATTTGAACTTTGACGATTTCAATCCTGACGCTTCCATATTTGAATTACGAGAAGAAAGAAGAGGTTCGGAAAGCGGGGTCGCATCCGATCTTCATCGAGATCTACAACCCGTCTACAGGCGAGTTGATCCAGAGATCGGAGATTTTCATCGCGGAGCGGATGCTGTTACTACAGGACTTCGAACTGGCCTACGGCACGTTTTGCCGGGTCCACAATCTGTACCAGTCGCGCGCGCCGCTGCAACTCCTGCAGGACTACGGGATCAAGATCGCGACGTTGCCGCTGAGATGCGTCTATGCATTGCAAAAGTATCGTACTCGTATAAATGCATTACAAATCTCCCCAGCATCAGAAATAAAATTTGTCATGCTGTTTTAGCTTAGGAAGGCGATTTGTCATGCATAATTGCGATTACTACGAGTACGATACTTTTGCACAGGATAGCGTCCCACGGTACCGGTCGACGTTGCCGTTTGAAAAACAGTACGAAACTATGAGAGTGCACAACTCCCCCTCCCCCTCGTTTGTCGTGCAAAACCCGAAATCCAAGTGCTTCCCTTTGGCATTGTTTGCATGGCAGATTCCGCAAGCCCAAACAGTACTACACTCGGCGCATGAATTTGTCATGCACAGGCTCCAGGTGTGCTGGTGTTTGTATTGCTGTCCATGCAAAAATACAAATGAGGAGGAGGGGGAGTTGTGCACTGTCATAGAAACCGACCGGATCGGGGCGCCGGGACTGGTGATGCTGCAGAAGAGCGAGGGGGTTGGGTATGTGAATCAGAACGCGGAGTTGCGGTTCTGCACCGCACTGTTGAACGTTAGGTTGAGGGACAACGTGGATTACGACTTGTTAATGGAGGCGGAGTTGGAGGATCCGACAAGGGGGACGGCTCCCGGGTGGCTGTTTTTCGTCGCAGGAAGATACTCTGAGTAAAAACGTCCCCACCCCAGAGTCAAGATGGGGACTTTGCAACACAAACCTTGAAGTTTTGGGAACCACGCATGACAAATTGCAGGCTGTAGTGTAGTGCAGTTCAGCAAGGGAAGCCGCATCACAAATCCATCTCCTTATCCTGTTTATAGCATTACAAGTTCCAAAACACGATTGGAAATTCTTCTCATGGGGATGCGCATGACAAGCGCTCTGGTGCTTGCAGATCTGCATTACAACTCTGGGGCGGGTACGTTTTTACATAGGATAGAAGAGTGTTTTTAGTCATCAACTTCGTACTCTACGTATCCTGTGCAAAAGTATCGTACTCGTATTGCAATCATGCATTACAAATCCCTTTCTTAAGCTAAATCTGCATTACAAATTTTACTTCTCATGCTGAGGAAATTTGTATTGCATTTATACGAATACGATGCTTTTGCAAAGCATACTACGCGGTCCTCTGCTGGCCGTTTTCCGTGTTCCGGTGCTCTAAGCGCTGCTCTCGCTGTGCGTGCTGCAGACGGAGAACGCGGAGTGGGGAAGAGATCTCCATGCTGCAGACGAATGACGGCTGTTGCTACAGCTTCTTCACGGTGTGGTTTTTCTCGCGGTTTTGCGGGTACCTCTTGATGTTCGCGTGCCAAATGGTGTGGTTCCTGCTGATTCTGGGGTTTCTGCTGTCGTTTATGCATTGCAAAATTATCGTACTAAGTGTCGACTGCATTACAAATTTTTCCAAAGACGAAAATGGAGTCTGTAATGCTGATTTTGCGTGGGAATGAGATTTGTCATGCATGCATCACGATCGCAATTTCTAGTGCGAGCGCGATACTTTTGCAGAGCATATCGCTCCTGTTCACACAGTTCCTCCGGATGGAATCGGACGCGTTGCTGTTGTATCAAATGCAAATATGTCCTCTGGGTCTGGAATGTGGATGCAAGACTTGTCATGCATATTTTCCATGCCCCATGAAGTTTGGAATGCAGGACCCAGCATGACAGGTTCTAGTGCGACGTCTCTATCATGCCTATCCTGCATGACAAACTGCCTCGAATGAACTTGCTCAACAACAGTGTGCAGCTTTTGGTAGTCATGCAACGCAAATTTTTGTACGATCCAGGCTTAGCATGACAAGTTCGCGCCCTCCCAGACCCAGAGATATTTGCAATGCATATGTTAACCGGTCCGGCGACGAGTTACCGTTATTTCGGACATGTCAGGTATGATTACGATCCGGCGCTGGTGAAGAGTAATGGCGACTCCTTTCTGCAGTTGCCATGTGGGGGCTCATCGACTGCTGCGTCTACTGCGGGGGCAGGAGAAGCTGCGTCCACCGACCCATTAGATCAACATCGTCGTTGGAAACATTACAACCAGCAGGGGTGCAGCAGCAGTAGCAGCAGCCCGGAGGACGTAGATGATAGAAGCGGATCGCTGCTGGAGCTCGAAGGTGGTAGCGCCGACGTCGCGAGGCAGAATAGTGACGCGGCTGCAGTCGGCGGAACAAATAAAGCTGCGACTCTGTTCTACCAGGGACGTGGTGGCAAGGATGAGATAGTACCTGATCCAGCCCCAGGAGACCGACATGACGACGGCCACGACTACATCAGCGGCGACTACGATTTCTCGGTGCTTGAGGACTCAGTCGGAGTGGAAGGAGGAGATAGGTACATTGGCGGTCACGCGTCAACGAGCGGTCACGACCCCTCAGGTGGAGCAACCTCATCTTCCCTTGTGCAAGAAAAGCAAGCGGATCAACAGCGTGAAAATGGGCCGCGTGGCACCAGCCTTAGCAATAGCAACCAGTCCTTACTCTTTGTCCAAGCAAAAGCTGCACAGCGGCCACAGCAAGAGCCAAACGAGAAAACCGTCGCAGGCGCTGGAGATGATGAAGTAGACTCTCTTCAGACTACTTCAAAATTCCTGCAGTCTTCTCGTGGAACGGACGCCGCTAGCGGAAAAACCGTCCCACCACCGACCTTCAGTGTGGAGTACATCCCGACTTCGATTTACGAACAAATGAACGACGCACTCGAACGGATCAGCCCGACTTTCAAGGTTTCGCTTGCCAATATCTATTGCAAATGTGTCTGGGTCTGGAAGATTGCAACTCGTGATGCTATCTTAAGACTCGAAAAAAATCTGTATTGCGTGACAGGCAAGAGGAGTCCAGTCTGTGCTACGCGGAGGGGGCATTTCTCATGCAGAAAATGCATCCGAAAGCCCTCTAAAAATCTGTGATGCTAGGTCATGCATTACAGGGGTCACGGGGGCGTGTCAAATATGCATGAAAAACCTGGCAATCTTCCAGACCCAGACACTTTTGCAATCCATAGCCAACGCAGAACGGCAAATGAAACAGGACGTGATGAAGAACCTCTACGGCCTGAACCTCTACAGGGCGGACCTGGACTACGATCCGAAAAATCTCTACAGCACGGACCGGCACCACATGACGGAGAACTTGTTCACTCCTGGAACGAAGAACAGTGAAGAAGACAACACTGGTCCCGCATCGTCTCTTCTGGAAATGGGCAACAAGCATAAAATGCAACAGCGTGCGAACAATCCCAATCCCCCCGGCGCGGGTGGTGCTACCATTAATCCCGGCGCGGGCAACAAGTACTTGCGGGAGATAGAGACCGGCTCAGAGAGGATTCTCGGCGCGATTGGTTGGTATGGGTTGCTGGATTTTTTAAGGTGGGTGAGAGACAGCTTTCTCTACCTGTCAACCCGAAACAACTGGGTCTGGCTGTTGTTCCACATCCTCTTTTACGGCATGTTCTTCGCCTTGATTTTCCGGGTGTTTGTGTTGTTCTTCGAAATGGTGTTCGGCTTCACACCCTTGTATTTCGCGCCGGAGAATGTGGGTAGACAAAACGTCGGGTCGACGCAGTTCAACACCGGTGGGAGTGGTGGTTCTACGTCGAATACCAACATGATCCAAATTGCGAAACACCGGGAAAATTCGCCGAACTTCTTCATCCGCATCCTACTGGTGTTGAAAGCGGGGATAAACAAATTCAGCTTCGCATTGGCGAAGTTTGAGTACTGCTTTCTGGTTTTCTTCCTCTCCTTCTGGACCGTTCTCATGCTCGTCGGGTTAATCATGCACGACGACACGGTGGCCGCGGCCCTGTGGTTCGGCGGGTTGCTCTACCTGATGTTCAAGCTGCTGGTCAATATGGTCTCCTTGCAAACGCAAATGCGGATCGTGGTATTAGCGCTAGTCGAAAAGATCCTCCGCGCCATCGCGGACAACGCGATCAAGACCTGGGGGCGCGACAAGAGACAGTACTTCCAGCACCACGGGGCGCATGGGGCTGGACCTGGGCAGGGCTACATATGAAATGCAAAAGCATGATCGTACTAGTATAAATTGCACTACAAGTTGGCTTAGCATTACAAATTGAATTTGTAATGCAGATTTGCCTTCACAAAAAAATGCATAAACGCAAGTAGTACGAGTACGATACTTTTGCACAGGATAGTACAGTTTTACCGACGAAACCGGGCAGCTGAACAGTGACGACGAACCGTATGAAAGCCTCCGGTTGGAAATCCTCCAAGTGGAAATAATTTGTAATGCACAAAAACGACTCCAGTTGAAGCGCCATTTGTAGTCGGCGCATGACAAATTTCCCGGGCACTCAAAGCGTGTCTGTCATGCTAGTTAGGCAAAGGGGTGCCCTTCTGTCGTGCTAATCAGCAGCCCAATTCTTCACCCCTAGCAGGACAATAGTCGGCCTCCATTGTGTCCTCTGCAATACAGTCTTTTTTTCCTTACATTTCACGCATCACAAAATATTTCCACTTTGAGCATTTCCATTCTGAGGCTTTCATAAACCGGGAGGCTCGTCGTTTTCCCAGGGAGTCCTTGGTAGAACCGCGAATGCGCGAATGAACGTTTACGCACATTACAGCAATCAACATTACATGCACGAGGAGCGGAAACGGCAGGAAAAGTCCGACCGGGACGAGAAGTACAAGGGAGCGAAAGGCGGAATATGCATTGCAAATAAAGAGCTATCGTGCTAGTAGACCACCTAGAGCAGCTAGTAAAAATCGCATTACAAATAATTTGCTCAACGCGAGGACAAATGGACCATCAGTGATGCCGAAATACTGCTAGGAAACGAGATTTGTCATGCCAGACTGGCGTTGAATATACGACTACGAGCACGATACTTTTGCGATCCATATCAAAAAGACGACGACAAATCTGGCGGGGAAGAGGACGGCGATGAGGGCCCGCACGACCCGAAAGCGAAGTCAATAACGACAGTCCGGGACTCGAATAAGCTGAAAAAGTTGATGTCGACCCAGATCCGCGAGTCCTTCTTTCCGAACGCGTCAGCTGCAGGAGGAGGGGATGCAACTCCAACAACCTCGCCCAGGATAAGCGCAGTCTCAGATCGGAGCACAACAGGAACAGCAGGAACTACCGTTGGTGCATCTTCTAAGAGCAAGAAGGATGTGGGGAAAGAAAAGCAGCAAAAGAATGACATGAAAAACAAGAAGAAGTGGTCCGCCCATTCCATCTGGCGGACTATGACGCGGGATTTGCAGTTTTTCGGCCCCGTGCAGGAGGAATCGGATGACGATGATGAGAAGGACGTGGTGGAAATGGACAGAATATGAATTGCAAAACCATCGCACTAGTATAAACCAGCCATGCTCCGGCTGCCGCCGGAGCGCAAGGCTGTTGGGCGGGGGCAAGACTGTTGGCTGATCGGACCAGAACGCCATGGGCCTGCGCACAAAGAAACATGCTGGAGCTCTGCCGCCTGGTTGGGCCACGCCAACCCGCAGCACCACTTGCGCGCCTCCCGCGCCTGCGGGCGCTCTGCGCAGGGAGCAGCTGCAAAGAACACCGGGGGCGAACAGAAGGCGCTCGGCGCGAGAGGGTGGCGCGAGAGGGTGGCGCGAGAGGGTGGCGCGAGAGGGTGGCGCGAGAGGGTGGCGCGAGAGGGTGGCGCGAGAGGGTGGCGCGAGAGGGTGGCGCGAGAGGGTGGCGCGAGAGGGTGGCGCGAGAGGGTGGCGCGAGAGGGTGGCGCGAGAGGGTGGCGCGAGAGGGTGGCGCGAGAGGGTGGCGCGAGAGGGTGGCGCGAGAGGGTGGCGCGAGAGGGTGGCGCGAGAGGGTGGCGCGAGAGGGTGCGCGAGAGGGTGCGCGAGAGGGTGGCGCGGAAAGGCGCCGAACAAAACAAGGCCGCGATATGCCTGCAGTGCCAAATGTGGGGACTACCATGCGGATTCGCGCCCGCTTTTTTGTGTTTTTACCCTCTCGCAGACCCCTCGCAGACCCTCTGTTTGACCTCTTTTGGGGGTCCCCGCTAATAGTCCGGCTATACTCGCGGGTAGAGGTCGACAGAGGTGGCCGAGAGGTGGCCAAGAGGGTCCGCGAGAGGTCGCCCCTTATTCGCGCCACCTCTCTCCACCTCTGTCGACCTCTCGCGCCCCCTCTTTTTGACCTCTCTGCACCCTCTCAGGCACTTAGGCGGCGCTTTAAGGGGAGCGCTTCGGCGGGCCTTATTCGCGCGCCCTCTCGCCGACCCTCTCGAACGGGGTCCCGCGCCACCTCTCCACCTCTGTCGACCTCTTTTCTACCTCTTTTGACCTCTTTTTTACCTCTCGGCCACCTCTTGTCTACCCTCTGTCTACCTCTTTTTTCGCATGAATATAATATATAGAAATTTCATTACAAATTTTCTCAGCATGAAAAATTGAATTTGTCATGCTGTTTTACCTTGGAAGGGAAATAATTTGTCATGCACAATTGCAATTAGTACGAGTGCGATGCTTTCGCTCACGATACAGGAGGTTCCAACGACAACTAGAACCAATGCTGGACGAGCAGCAGTCAAAGAACCTGGCAACGAACTGGGCTCAAGCCGCGGCGAAAACCAGAACCGACAGCAACTACTTTATGACAGGAGTCTCCTCGGTAGGTGCGGATAATTCCGAAGAGAACAAAATCAAGCCGGAGGAGATTACCACGGTGGAATCGAAGAAGAAATTGCTTGGGAATTTCCTCGCCCGCGACAGTAAAATTTTGTTCAAGAAAGACGACGAATTCAAGCAACTCCAAGATTTCGAAGACAACGTGAAAGACGGCGCAGTTCCGGAAGAAGCGAATAACTTCTACTACGATTCACTTTTTGGCGACATCGATCAGCCGATGAAGCACTCGTCGACTTTGGAAACCTTAGTGGGTTCCGACGCGCAGATTGGTCTGCAGCAGATTTTCAATGTGATCCGGCCCAAATCGGACGAGGAAGCGGTTTACTCCGCGCAACTAGCGGGGAGGGACACGAATTTGGCCGCGCAGACGAGATCATTCAACCGGTTCGAATCGCAGACCGCGCCGGAGACGTTGTTGATTTTGAAGAAGTTGTACGAGAAACTAGTAACCCAGTACCTACCGGATGTGCGGTTGGATAGGGAACAATTGAAACCGGAAGCGTTGAAGGAGCAGATGCTGTTACAATTGGAGGCGAAAGTGCTGGAGTTGCGCGCGAATTTGGAGTCTTTCCAACTCCAATTTTCTGACTTTTTACTGGACTCCGCGGGGAATTTGTTTGATCAATTATTAGTGAATTTGACGGACAACGCGGCTTTGAAAGCGGCTTTACTCGAGCAGCAGGAGGCGATTTTGTCGAAGTCGTACAGTATGGACTTCAACTCGTTAATGTCCTTCCACGCGGATCCCGCGGATCCCGAGATCCCAGCGTCCTGGTTTGTCGCAGCGGCAGTGGGGGAGGATACACATGTACCCCAGGGAGGTGGTACGCCGATTTTTTCCCCCCGTGGCGAGGGAGAAGCGATGGAGCCTATTTCCGAGGGCGAAGCAAGTACGCGGGATGAAAACAAGCATCGCGACCGTTCATCACCCAAAAGACCTCGCCCATCGCAACAAACACAAGAACAATCTTCGCCTGTGCAACAACGACCCTCCAGGCCGAGCACAGCGTCAACCTCGACGGTAGGCGGTGGTGGAAACAAGCGGCCATCAACGACGCAACCACAAACTACGTCGCAACAAGATCCCCTAGCCGCACTGTTCCGCCTTGCCGCGGCGTTTGACAGCAAGCCACTAAAGCAAACCTGGCGCCAGTGCGGGAACCGACTGGGCGCTGGGGTGGCTGTCGCGAGAGTAACAAGGGAGTTGTTTTTGAAGAAGTACGCGGGGTTGCTGGGATCCAGTGGTTCGGATCCTGATGCGTTTTTCGCGAGCGCGTGCAAGACGTACCCGAACCAGACGTCAAATTTCGCGTCGAAGAAAAACTTGTCTGGGAAAACGACAGACAAACAGATCGTGACAGACGGGCTGAAAGTATCAAGCAAAACAAAAAGTGTTAACGTTAAGGGTTTCATCAAGGCATTGCCTTCATGCATGACAAATTTTCGCTATCATGATACATGCTACGCAATACAAATTTAGGCATCATTTCTCGCGCAGTCATGCATGCCCAATTCCGTTAATGTTAACATTTTTTAGTGCGATAGAAGGCATCTAGCGGAGGTCCAGCAGGTGGTCCCTCTACATCAGCTGCTAGCAGTACTTCTACCGAGGCGAATCTGATGCAATCCGCTTTCATCTCCATTGAGGATCTCTTCTTCGTGTTGACCGAAGTATGTTTTCTTTAAAACGTCCCCACCCCATAGTCAAATTGGTAAATCTGCAACACAAGTCTCGAAGTTTAGTTTCCATCTGCAGAAGTGTAGTGCTGATTAGCAAAGGTAGCCGCATGAGAAAGCAACTTCCTCATCCTGTTTACAGCATTACAAATTCCGAAATACGACTGGAATTGCCTCTCATGGAGCTGCGCATTACAAAGGTTCCTGTCGTTGCGCATTTGCATGACAACTCTGGGGCAGGTACGTTTTTGCTGAGGATACGAAGCGGGGGTTATTCAGCGGGATTTTTCCAATCTCTTTCTGCAGAAAAACCCGGAGCAACTGACTTCACAGTTGGAATTTCTATTGCCCGGAGATCAAGTAGATGGCGATCAACAAAACACCAGTTTTCTCATCGACCAAAATACCATGAAAATCACACTAGACGCGGCACGAGAAGTAGCAGCGGCGTTGGAAACAGTAATAGGGATCACGGAGATCACGGGGAGGGAAGACATTTTGAATTTCACCACACCAACGAACATCAACGCGTCGACGAATAAATCAAATTCCAATTCCAAGAAATCAACATCTTCACCTCCTTCCGACCAACTGGGCAGGTGTTTCCTCTCCGCTAGTGAGGTAGTGAAAATCGCGGACAGCATTCTTCTATGAAATGCAAAACGAAAACTATCGTACAACTAGTAGTAGTAATTGCATTACAAATTCCCTCAGCATGAGAAATGGAAGTTGTCATGCTGTTTAACCTTGGGATGGAGATTTGTAATGCATGATTGCAATTACAACTACGAGCGCGATACTTTTGGTTTTGCAGTGCATATCTCCTCCCCCAGGGAATGTCCGCAACGACCCAAGCAACCAGCTCCTCCCTGACAAACCAACAAAACGTCCGCATGTGCTACTCCGCGTTTACCCACGCCATCGATCGGAAGTACACAAACGGAAAAGCGACAGCTGCGACCATTGCGAAGATTTTTGAGGACCAAAAATCCCAAACTTTGTCTCCGACTCAGTACGAATCGGCGGTGAAACAGTTGACCTCCGACGGAATGCACGCGCAAGCGATTGTCCGGTTGTTTAGGCGATTGCAGCTCCCGGCGGCGGCCATCGAGATCAAAGACACGATGGAGCAGCGAAACGCCGGAGGGCCGAAGAACCCGTATTCAAGAAAAAAACTGTGTAAGTGTCAATCTGTGATGCAGAAAATGGAAAACAGTTACACTTGTCATGCTCATACTGGAAGTGCGTCATAGGCTACTATCATATGTGTTTCCACGTACTAGCTGCGCATGACAGGTTTTCCCAGTAATACTTACAAAACGAATTTGTGATGCTGCTCTTCCTACAAAGTTACACTTACGCACTTTTTTCCCTGGATAACCCGTACTCCGCGAACATTAGCACGTTTGTGGAAAATTGCAAACGGGCGGATGGGGAGGAGAAGATCAAACTCCCGGCCGCTTTTGACATGATGGACGAGAAAAAATCGAAATTGAAGTTCAAGTCGAAATTAGTATCGAAGGTTTGGGAGAAAAAGTGCGGGCGGAACGGGAATTTCATTCCGAGGCATATGCATTGCAAAAGTCTCGTACTCGTAGTAATCTAATTGCATTACAAATTGCCTCATGCTGTGTTACCTTAAGAAAAAGATTTGTAATGCAGACCTGCAATGAGAATGACTACGAGTGCGATCCTTTTGCAATGCATAAGGCAGAATTTGATGCGGTTCGTCAAGGACTTGCTGTTTGAAGAGAAGAAAGTACCGATGAACAACCGAAGTGTCGTTCCTGCCGCAGTGAACAACAACGATGAGGAGTTCTTAGCGGAGGAAGGGGCGCCACTGATAGCAGCAAATCAGCAACAAATACAGGGCGGGATGAACCACACACAGTTCACACCCCGAGGTTTGTGGTTCGAGGCGGTTTTCTTGCTCTTGCAGGAACTGCACGTCCCTTTATCGAAGAAATACGCGTTTGAGTTGATGGAATTGTACTATCAGAAACAGGTCGAAGAGGATAAAGAGGAGGAAAAACGACCAACAACGTTCATAGGAGCAGCAGGAGGAGGAGGCTCCTCCTCGCCGAGAGCGGACGGATCAGTTACCACTGCTGGTGGTTCTCCCGCTACTTCCGCGTTTGGGTTTTTGACCCGGGAGTCCGTTCTCGCGATTTTCTCGGACATTGTGGATTTCGGCTTGTACCGCGAGACCTACTTCTACTTCCTGAAATTCCACCGGGTGCAGCTCCCAGATTCCGCGGTTTTGAGTCTCTGGGACTCGGTAATCATCCAGAAGTGGCGGGAAAAGATTCTAGCGACCGACAATGACAACAGTTCTTCATCTTACCCCGACTACATGAAGGAGACGTTTCTCGGGCAGTGGGTGGTTGAGAAGTTGGAGAAGAGCGAAACGGACAAAACGCCAGCTGTAACAGCGATCATCCCGATAGAATTCGTCACGGACTTAACCGCGGAGATTCTGCTGAAATCCGTATGAACTGCAAAAGTATGATCGTACTCGTATAAATGCATTACAAATCTCCTCAGCATGAGAAATAAAATCTGTAATGCGGGGGCTTTAGCTTAAGAACAAGATTTGTAATGCATGATCGCAATACGAGCGCGATACTTTTGCACAGGATAATCCGGCATGTGGCTTGACTTCGCAAAGAACACGCTGCAGTCGTTGGATGTGTACAGTGGTTCCGGGATCAACGTTGTATGCATTGCAAAACTGTGTGGGTCTGGAAACTTGTGATGCTAAAATATGGATGATGGAAACTACACTTCCAAATGCAGTCCAGCATGACAACTTCCAACAATGTATTCTCATAGGCGATCATCCGCATGAGACGCTGCGTTCTTGCATGACAAAAGAGGCTGCGACTTTTCTTGGTTACGCAATACAGATTTCCAAGGAGTGATGTAGAGCTAGTATCACAAGTTCCAACCTTCCAGACCCAGACATAGTTTCACTGGATATGTTGGCGTGAATAACAACCCGATCGTGCAGAACCAAGAGGCGGTCGGAGGGGTGACGGGAGCTGGGTATGAGGTCGTCGGCGCCGGAGTAGATGGAACATCATCTTCTTCCGCTGTCAATGACGATACCACATCAGCCGAGCCGGTGATTTTCTTGAACCAGATGAACACAACCGATGAGATCGAGGCGGAAACCATTTTCCGGGATCTGCTGCTCTTGGAAGACAAGTCCACTTCCCGGTGTGTCGGCTTCCTTCCCTTCGAAGACATCTACAAGATGCTGAAACGGGTGCACAAAACACAGGGCATGGACTACTTTTTCTTCACGAAGTTGTATGGCGTTCTCAAACGTTACATTCTCAACTGTTACATGAATTTGTCTTCATGCAAAAACAGCAATAGGGAAAGGGGCAAGCTTGCAAGTCTTGCATCACAAATTTGGCACGGATCTAGGCGCTGTTTGGCCATTCGATTATTTGTCATGCGAACCAGCTTGATTGTCTTGCGGCTCATGGTCATTTTGCATGACAAATCATGTAACAGTTGAGAATGTAACGCTTGAGAGTGCCAAAATTTGGTGCATCTGCTCGGGTTCCACAACGTCACCTCGGAAGATTTGTACGATACTTTTGCGCAAGTGGAGAAGGAGGAACGGCTGAAACTCCATGAATTCCAAATGGCGCTGCTAATTGTGACGAAGGAGCGACTGAAGAAACAGTTGATGCTATCCTGTGTAAAAACGTACCCACACCATAGTTGTCATGCTACTCTGCATGCTTAAAATGTTTCTCATGCGGAGCCCCATGAGAAGCATTTTCTAATGCGGCTTGGAAATCTGTAATGCGCCAATCAGCATGAGATACTAGATCTGTAATGCTGCTTAGCTAGCTCAAACAGCACTACCCTACGCGTCCAAATTTGTCATGCGAAACAGCCAAAGCTTATGGATTTGTCTAGCAGATTTCCCATGTTGACTCTGGTGCGGGGACATGATCTTTACTCCGGATAGATGCGAGACCTCGGGCTGGAAACGGACCAGATATTGCTGACTCTGCTGTTCTTATCGTGAGAAAAAACTGCTTAGCTGTAAACTTGTGATGCATAGAACGGAACGCAAATGCGTTTGTCTTGCTACACATGCAAGACATTGGATTTTTAGCTGTGTTTTCTCTTAGGGAGCACGCATGCCAAGTTTTCTTTGTCATGTGTAACAAACTTGTGATGCAGATCTTGCAAAATCATCACAGTGAAACAGTTTTTTCGTGGGATAGTTCTACTCGTTGATCTTCGCGTTGCTGTTTCTCTTCATCGCCTTGGTGCTGCAGTCCTTCGGGCCAGGGAAGTATGAACTGCAAAAGTAACGTACTAGTAGGGACCCACGATATACCCAAACCTGCGCATTTGGATTTGGTCGGTTTATTGAAAATTCCTCAATAAGTATAGAATCGCCACTATTATCTATCCCACGAAAAAAGTGTATACAGTTACACGCTTCTAGTGAATTCAGCAGCGCAAATTTCTCTGCATGAGAGAGAAAACAAAACCTGTAATGCAGAAATCCTACGGGAAAACACCTATGAAACGAGGCTCGCTAGGTATATCCGGCATGACGCAGCTTGTCTGTCTTGCTTGGCCTGCAACACAATGCGTTACTGTAGCACCTTTTTCTTGCGATATTATCCAACTCGTCGATCCTGCCGGTGAAACGACTCAAAAACAGCAGAAGGAGTGGTGGAATTTGCAAGCTTCTTCTTTGAAGGAGTTGATAAAGACGAAAGCCTCCGCATTGAAGCGTCCCGAGTTCGAACGCGCATATATTGAAAGCCAAAGCGTCCCTCGATGGTGGGGATGTGGGCTCTAATTTTGGACAGGAAATTGCTGGCGACCTTTTCAGCTAGACGGAAACGACGGACAACATGATGAAAGCTAACACCTTGGCTGTTCCGAACAGCCAAGGTCTTTTCGTCATGTGGTCCGTTTCTGGCAGCGGCCGAACCTCCTCGGCCGCTGCCAGATACGGGAAAAAGCGCGCTCAGAAAATTAAATTTAGCAGGTTGGGTGTTTTGACCCAACCTGCGCCGCAGGTTGGGTCAAAACACCCAACCTGCTAAATTTAATTTTCTGAGCGCGCTTTATCACGAAATAAAATTTTCGCAACATGTTGCCCCTCAGCTGAAAATCGCAAAAAGAATGCGAACTCCCCCAAAACAAATTAACCTCCGCGCCGCGGTTCCGCCTTCGGGCTCGCTTCTTCGTGGCCCGGTTGTCGTAGGGGTAGGCCCCCCACGTCATATTCCGACTGCCCGCGCGCAATGGTGTGTGTGGCAGTTGCTTGGGTTTTTCTGTGTTACCTCACCAGGCCAGAGATGGCTCCTTGATTTCATTTTTGGAACCCTTCCGGGGTTGACTGTTTTCATTTTTCGGATTAGAGATCCAGACGATTGTCTTCCGACTTTGATAGAGACGCGCAGGGAGCTGATATCTCAACGAATGACTGTGCCTTCGCGGCCGTGTCAACGATGTGGGAAAGAGCCAGAAGTGAACCGATGTCGATTGATCTTTTTGTAGCTGTACTAGAGAATGGGAATACAGCGAAAGAAGTAGGGGAGTGGTGAGCTTCGTTGGCGCTGAGGTGGGGAGGGGATTTGGTGCGGCGTATTTTCATATAGGTGGCGTCTCATACCCGGAAACATCAATCTCTATTGAGGATTTTTCAATATTTCGAGCAAATGCAAATACGCATGTTTGGCGAATAGTGGATCCATACGTACTAGTATAGATCGCATGACAAATGTTCTCAGCATGAGAAAGGAAATTTGTAATGCTGATTTGCCTTCGGGAACAGATTTGTAGTGCGAGACTTGCATTTATACGAGTACGATACTTTTGCAATGCATAGGAAGTCTTTGATCACGACGTCTGTCCAAGTGTTCTTCGCCTATCAAATGCAAAAATGTCTGGGTCTGGAAGAGTGCCAGACTTGTCATGCAGGTTTTCCATGACCCCTGAGGTCTGGCACGTAGGACTTAGCATGACAGATTCTGTGAGATGAGTTCCATCATGCCTATCCTGCATGAGAAACTGCCGCTCGATTAGGTCAAAAGTGGACAGCTTTTGGTAAGCACGCAACACAGATTTTTACATCATTCAGATTTAGCATGATAAGTTGCTTAGTTCCAGACCCAGACACTTTTGCATTTGATATCGCCGCGTTCCTGACGTTCTCGGTCGACAAAATTTCCACGGATACGATCAATCTCGGCGTCTACTATGAAATGCAAAAATGTCTGGGTCTGGAAACTTGTGATGCTAAAATGTGCATGATGAAAAGACTTCCGAATGCAGTCCGGCATGACAACTTCCCAAAACGCTTTCTCATAGGCAATCCGCATGAGAAACTGCGTTCTTGCATGACAAAAGAGGCTGCGACTTTTGTTGGTTATGCAATACAGATTTTCTAGGTGTGGAAAGCTAGCATTACAAGTTCCAACCTTCCAGACCCAGACATTTTTGCAATCCATATCTACTTGGGAAGGCTAAAGCGGGCGGTGAGAAAGGCGATACGGATTTAGGAAAGTGGTGGAAGTTCTTACTGTCCGCGGGGGCAGGGACGGTGGAGAAGATTTTTTCAATCACTGCTGTAGATTTGGTATCTGACCTAGCGGTGTTCATCTTGCTCTAGTACATACAAGAACAACCGGAATACTTTACATGAGCGGAGTAACAATTGACTCAACTAAGTCGGATCGCCGACTTAGTCGTCCGTCCGGCCGCACGGACGAGTAAGTCGGACTTTGTCGCGGGAAACTTCCTCCTTCATGAAATCGAAGAGCCGAGAACCCACACCCGGGCTCCTGCCGTTACAGCACCCGAAAGCCGTATGAAAAAGCGCACTTCTGTAAGCGGATTTCTGCGCTTTTGGTGTGTTTTTTTTCGGCCGAGCATCCCGAAAAAAATGGCAAGTGCTATTTTTTACGCGCGACAGTTGCTGCTTATGTATTACACGTTAGCCCTTTCTGCAGTAAAAGAAACTTTTTCTGCAAAAGCAAAAAAAAGCAAAAGTCCGCATTTTTCATTTGGAAAAAGTGCGACCTACTTCTTCAGCTCCGCCCCCACATTCCCAGCTCGGGGGGGTTGCGCGTTCGCAAGCAAAAGTTCGCATTTTTAAAAGTGCAACCTTTTTCAGCTTCATCCCCAGCTCGGCTCGGGGGGGGGGGGGGTGCGCGTTCGTTGCGCGTCTGGCGAACGCGCAACCCCACCGAGGTGGGAATTCGCGCAACCCCCCGAGCCGAGTGTGAATGCGAAGCTGAACCAGGGTGCACTTTTTCCAAATGAAAAAAGTCTTCACATGAAAAGTGTGGACTTTTGCTTTTTTTTGCTTTTGCAGGAAATGAAATAAAACTCGTTTCTTTTTTAATTGAAGAAAGGGCTACTTTGTCATGCAGAAACAGCAACTGTCATGCATAAAAAACAGCATTTGCCATTTTTTTCGGGATGCTCACCCGGAAAAAAAAATCACACCAAAAGCGCAAAAATCCGTTTACAAAAGTGCACTTTCTCACACGGCAGGACGCCGGGTGAGGGTTTATCTCCCCGGCTCTTCGATTTCCTGAAGGAGGAAGTTTCCGCCCGCGACAAAGTCCGACTTAGTCGTCCGTGCGGCCGGACGGACGACTAAGTCGGCGATCCGACTTAGTTGAGTCAATTGTTACTCCGCTCCATTAACATTATTCGCACTGAAATGCAGAATCAGAAACAAGTCGTATTCAAATGCAATTCTTAACTGTATGATTGACGAACGAAAAACCGATAAAGATAGCACTTGTGAAAATGAAAATGTACCAGCATTACGAGTAGTTTCAACTTCATCAAGACTCCTGTTATTGCTGCTTCCACATTATAACTAAGTTTTATCGCAATTATCGCAAGAGGAGCAGACAAACAGTTTCAGTTTCCAGAATAGCAAAATCGTAGCTTCACGGCCTACTTGTACAATCGTGAACGTAGAAGAAGAAAAAAGAACCAGTTTCCATTTCATCGATGGAAATAAAGTAGGCACAGCCAGTTGTAAAATGCACGTCATCTTCGCGTATATTACCTGTTGATGTAGATAACTTGTTGCACAGACTTTCGAAGAAGCAAAAGCCTATGGCTGGATGAGTTCGCTTAGATTGAGTTTGCAGCTGATGAAACAAGATAGAAAAGCACCGGGCCGCTTCATTGCCGGAGCAAGAAAAGAAAGACGCCTGGTATGAACGCAAGCGAACAACAAGAACAGAACCACTACTAAATCTTGTACTGTACACAACAGATGAACTACAAAGACCGAATGTATACAACGCCGTCTCTTTCTCGTCGTGCAGCGCCAGCGCAGGCTCAGGCTGCTTGCCTTACTTTTCGAAATTTTTGGGGCAGCAGAAAGCTTCGATGCTAATCGTAGGGCTGCAAACAATATTAATCTTGGTCGGTGAAGATGTTTATTTTCTGAAGTCCAATCGTTGAGGGCCTGAAGTCGATGAGTAGGTAGTCTTGCAGAAAACCAATCAATTCCTGTTGGGTAGGAGGGATGAAAGTAAGGCTCGGTCGTCGCGTCGCTCCCAGTTGATTTTTTTCAAAGTCGTCGGGAAAACGAATCTGCAAAACCAATGAATTAAAAACTTGTTTCAGGGCCTCACTTATTCTTCTAACAGCTAGCAACGCACACCCCTGCCTCTGATGGGCAGCTTTTAATACCTTCTCTGGGCCTAGACACAAGCTCTATTTTTGGTCCAGCCTAAACCATTGGTGATTGAGTACAGCCTGCAAAAATACACATCAAATCAAAGTCAAACACCTTACTCTTGCACTTGCTACGGTAGTAGACGTTTTGTTTTTTTGGCAGCGCAACATTATCGTCCAAAATCCTTGAAAATAACTACCGAGTTTGTTTTGACTAGAATTGCCCACGAGCCTCCGCAGGCGCGTGACGACGAGAAAACCCTTTTCATTTCAATTTGTTCCATGTCAGTTGCTATTCGCGTGACTTGCCAGAAATGTGGCGAGTTGGAGCAAGTCAAATTGGGTGCCTGGGAAGCGGCCAGTAACTTCATGATCGGCAAGTATCAAGTGCAAATATCATGTCGGGGTCTGGAGGGTTGCAACTTGTGATGCGCATTTCAGATCACAGGAAAATTTGTCTTGCAAAAAGAAAAACAGGAACAGCAAGTAATGTGTATCTTTGATCATCATGCACATGCTGAGAGCGCATTTCTCATGCGGAGTAGGCATCATGGAGCTCTCGAAGAACCTGCGATGCTGGTCCCTGCATGCCACTCTACTGCGTCATGCAAAAACTGCATTACAAACTACATCTGCAGTCTTCCAGACCCAGACATATTTGCAATGCATAGCAAGTGCCACAACGCGATTCCGGATAGCCACGCCAAGATGCGAAATTTGCTGGACACGCGACTCTGCGTATGACAGTGCACAATTCCCCGTCCCACTCGTGATTTGTCATGCAAAATGCCAAATCCAAGCGCTGTCGTATGGTGCTGCTTGCATGACAGATTCCGGAGGCCCAAACAGTACTACATTACGCGCATGAACTTGTCATGCACAGGCTCCACATGTGCGGGTGTTTGTATTGCTGTTCATGCAATACAAATGAGGAGGAGGGGGAGTAGTTGTGCACAGTCATACCGCGGCTACAACACCTACAACGACACGCGGTGCGAAGAGTTGGCGGCGGTGGACTACGGAAAGGCAAAGAAGGGGTGCAAGGGACTGATAAATGTGGAGTTCACGGGGTTAACACAGTAATGGATGACAAGAAGAAGAACAATAAAACGTCGACGTTCCAAGAAACCTCGGTGTCAGCGGAGGAATGCTTCTGCAGTTGTACATCACGCAGCCGCAGGACGACGAGAAAGATGAGTGCTTAGAAGTCTCACCAGCGACCACGAATGACACACTTTAGACGGGCAGAAAAGTAGAATCGACTTACGGTTACCGCCGTGTGTCCTCGTCATCATCCCTTGCACAGAAAGAGAAACGATGAACAAAGGTGTCCAAATAAAATGCACGACGTGTTTGAATAGCCTGTACCAATTATTGTTGCTTTTAGAAAGTTGAAGATACTCCCCATGATGGCAAGGTGCTTTGAGAAGTTGTCCACGGGCTTCATTTGGTGAATCTCTGAACGAAGAATCGAGCGGAGCGCTCGTCGCATATTGCAAAAGAACAAGTCGAAGTCACGACCAGAGAAAACAAGCGCAACAACGACGAGCATCTTGCCGAAAATCTCACTGTAAAGAAAAAAACGTCTTTTGTTTCTTTCAAAAATACAGGAAAGTGAAGAATTTCTGTTTTTACCGCTGAAGTCTTGTATGTTCTGCTTCTTATGTGAGTATGACCTGATGCAGTCCGGAATCATAATTGAGACTGAGTACGAGGACCGCATGCGCATGTGGTGTTTTTGAGAAGGTAGAGCGGCCGGTGGAGCGTGCCTTTTCATGATCATTTTGAGGCAACATCATGTCCTGTTTTGATGTGGCATGATCGTCACATCTAGATGTAACTGCTCAGTCTTCACGTGAGTGACAAGAAAGTGCGAGCAAAGGAGCGACTTCTTTCCGATCTTTGGTCTTCTCGAGTTGTTTGTTTTTCCTAAGATCTTGCTTGGGCATCTTGGTGATCTTCTTTCCGATAGCTCAGGGACGGCGCAGGCGCAGCGGCGCGTGCGTTGAGGCACCGGAAGCGGAATTGCCAGCAAGGACGACGTGGCAAACCCTGCGGGCCGTTTCGTCTGCCTGAAACTCGCGAGCGCCGCGCGGGTCTACTTACGACGAGCGCCGCGCGGGTCTGGGTCCGCGGCGCTCGATTCGCGAGGCGGCTGCCGTTCGGAATAACTTCCGAAAATTCGCGAGCTGGTTGCCGGCTCCGGCGCCGCGGTGTATCTTCCATGTCGTCATCCCCATCGCGACGCACTGCGCTGGAAGAAAAAAGCCCAGCGGCGCGGATGTGAAAGGCGCGGGCCGCGCTTCCTGTTTCCCGTAGTTATCCGCGCCCAAGGGGCGCAGGCTCCTAGGTTGTGGCCGAGAAGAGGGGGAGCGGCCTGCCCCGCCGTGGCTGCCGTTTTGTTGCTCATCAGCCGGCGCCTCGCGGCTGGCGTTTTGTTGCTTATCAGGCAACTTCTTCGCTCGGCGTTGGTGCTCCCAGCCGCCTGCGCAGTTCGCCCGCCGGCCTCCCTGGCCGGCGGGTGGATCACGTGGCCGCGTCTGTTTCGTCCACTCCACCGTGGGGCGCCAGCTGCGCAAGATGGCGCTCCTTCCTGGCCGCCTTGTGCCTCTCTCGCTCTCCAATAATTCCAATTCCTAAGCTGAGCCGTGGCGCTCCTCTTGGAGTAGTCG